CCTTTTTATAATTCTCTTTATTTTCATCCAATTTAATCGTGCAAAATAGCAACGAAACATTAGAAATCGCATGGCTGAGAAATACATGTTACCGTGTTCAGATAAAATAACCTCAATTCTACTCGGTGCATGGCAATGTCACGTGACGTGAGACCGTATACCGATGCTAAAGGTGATGTGAAACTCGAGATGGTGATGAGGAAGAGGGTCTACTGTACGTTAGAGTAAGAAAGGGCGAGAGTTTGAGCGAATGTGCGAGAGGGAGAAGGAGGAAGGAATAAATGGCGAATCACAAAATAGAGGGGACAGGAAATGTAACGCGCGCGGGATTCATGGAAAGGAAGAGAGATGGAGCAAAATGAAAAAAAGCGAAAGAAGAAAATGACATGTGTTTGTCGTTCAGTCACCCAGCGTCGTGTCTTTTCCGTAATTCTTTTTTTTTTTTTTTAATCCGTTACTCGTGGAGAATCTTATTTATTTTAATGCGCGAAAACGCACTCGTGACACTGATACTACAGAAGCTAGCTAGAGGGCGATGCGATAGAGACAAACGTGATGGTTGAAATATAACCATGATTTATATAAATGTGTTGAGCACACACACACACATATATGTATGCACATACACTTATGAATAATTTTGCAACTAATGGATAAAAACAATCAAAGTTAATAGCACGAATTATAAATTTAGACCGACATTCAACATATACATATGTATAATATATACGTATAACATAAGTATGGATTCGTTGCAAAATTTTCTATAATTTTCTTAATTCTATTGTACGTTTATTTTTCATTTTATTTAATAGCAGTGGGAATTAAAGAATTACTTTTTTAAAAATAAACGTGTACACTCTCTCGTCGAGAATTTAGAACAACTTTTTTACAATGTGTTTAAGATAGATTTATCAGTCGGATTTTAACGTTTTGCGTGTAGAACAGTTTATGGGATCAAAAGCAAGATGAGTTAACGTGTCCGATTCTCTGACATCCGGACTGACTAGTCAACGCCAACGGCTTGGATATTTTAGGATTAACAGTGGTCTATTCTGTCGTACTTTTCCTAAACGAACCCTGGTGGAGGATTCATCGCGGTTCATCGAACTCATCCCGGCTTAGAAGCGCCACGTATTCAGCGTTATCCTAGACCGACCTACGTTGCTTAGAATAGTGGCAGAAACCGTGTTCCTAGAATTCTCGATGAGATTCGCGGAAAGTTAAACGTAGAAGGAATGAATCGTCCACGAGTGGTGCTCGAGCTTCAAATTTTAATCTTACTCGCGTTCAAATTTATAATATATAATATTACTAATAAATATTGATAATTTGATCGTACAATTTTCCTTAAAAATTATTTAAATTATTTATTATCTAAAATTAAACTCTAAAGAGAAATCAAAAGTATATCAAAGATCGTATCGGAGTTAATCGAAAATTCTAACTCGTTGCGTTGATAATAATGCAACAAATGTTTTCTGTGTATCCTTGCCTTATCCCTAAGTCAATATTTATATTAACGAACGATAGCAACCGTTCATGCCCCCTTCATTGAAGTGGAAGTGAATTTACACGAGCTTCGTATCTTAAACACGACGTCGGTTAGAGGTGTCGCCAGCGATCGTCTTCTCTTGTTTTTGTGATGCTTGAAACGGCTGACACTCGTTTGAGGACGCCTGTCGTCGTTACGTGTCTTGCCCAAACGCTGTATTACGTCGTCGCTTTCAGGATTGGCCCTGGTTGTCGTCGTAACAGTATGTACACTGTTCGAGTGGCTTCTTCGGTTTTTTTTTTTTTAAACCTTTTTTCAAACTTGTTGTCAACTTTCGTCGTGTTTCGTATGATCTTTCTGCGAACCGATGAAGGAAAGAGGAACGCATTACGCGAGATGCCTTCTCTCCGTTTATGCAAATTGCAACCAATTTACGAACGCAGCCTCGACGCTTTTCCATTCGGTTTAATTTATGCTAATCCATTTATGCAAATGCCCGAGTAATTCGCATGAACGCTCTCTCAGTTCTCCGCTAGCATTCTTAATTTTGTTACGTGTCAAGCACGAATAGAGATAATAGCACAAAAGCGCTATTACAAGGAAAAAGCTGAACGCCATCATGAATCGGGTTATTGAATTTCTGATTGGTTCAATGATGCGTTTGGCATTTCCGAAATATTAGCTGGTTGATCTGTTTGAGATAAAACGTGCAAGGTTTCATACATAGAGTAGCAGAATTAACGGTGTATGAAACGTTGGTATATGAACCAAATTAGCACCGATGTTCTATGCACTGTGTCGTCCACTCTGCCATACGGTGTCCTATTCTCATCCTTATAATAATAGATTAAACGTTTAGCAAGATTCGACGCCTATGACTCTACGCCTATTCACGTCGTCACGTGAATTTCGACTTATATGGTATATTTATAAGTTCGGCCAAATAATGTATCTATGCATCTCCATTAAATCTTTTATTTTTATCGGGATTGGAAACAAACAAGATAGTTTCGTATTTCTGTAAAAACAATTATTACAGAAATAATAAAGATCATTGAGTGTAATTATAGATATTTGATTTTTAAAAAGTTTAAAATTTGATGTTAAGTTGTATAAAACTTTCTATTGACATTATTTCGTGCAATGTATTTTATGGATTTCGAGAAAATAAGACAGAAAAAGAAAAGATGCCTATTAGGAGAATGTGAGGTTGGTACGAGCGCATGCGCAATGTTTCGATAGTGTTCTCTTGAAGATTCTTTTCAATTTTCGTGTCTTTCTCGATGTGTGTTCATTTCTATGAATTATAACGTAATATTACGACGAAAGTTAAAAAGACGACTATAACCTTGGCCTTAACATTTGATATCTTCTCTTCTAACGTTTAATATATTCAGAGGTGAGTGATTTGATGAAAGAATAGCGATAAGATCCGAAGCTAACCTAACTTAACCACTCGTGTATATATATATAAACACTACTGTAATAATTTTCGATTCCAACTCGATAGAGACTTGTTGAGACTTGTAAATTGATCTTTAAAATTAGTTTTTTATTCATTCAAATTCAAAATATTATGGAAATGATTCGGACAAATATTATCAAATATGTGTATATATCTATACACATATAGCATTGCGTTTGATTCAAACGTTACGTTTCGGACACGTGACAACTGACATTCTTGTAGAGTTTTACGATACGTGACTGAAGTTGTCTGAATATGGTCGAGCAGAGACTTTCGTATTATGTATATTTAGTTCAGGGAAAATTTTACTAAGAGAGAGAGACGTGTGACCACTATACGGAAGAAATATTATTCTTACAATGTCTGTCACCTGTCGTTGCCAAACGTGAACCGATGGTATAAATATTAAATTGTCTTCGTTTGTATGAACATATATGAATAAAGGGCGAGACGATGCGACAACGTAGCATTCGACTCGCATATTTGCGATGCGGTGGCGTATCGAGGCTCTTCTCTCGAGCTCGGCTGGTTGCTTAGGACCGACTCTGCGCTTAGAACGACTTAGTACACACGGTGCAACGACCTCGCGCAACGAGTCTTACTGTGTATCTTTCCTTCCTCTCTTTCTCTTTCAAACGCGTGCACATCTGAAGCAAAGGGAATGACTGGGCGAGCCCATCGGTCTCTCTCGTTCTCTCATTTATTCTTACACGTGGAGCGTCGCGACGCTCTTTTCATCGTATTGGTGTGTTCTGGATGGGTTCAAATGTGATTTACATCGGGACTCGGCTAATAGGTTCGTTGCTTAGAAATTCCTAACCGTTGATCAGCATACGATCTGTTATATTTTATTCTTGGCGCATTCTTGTACATCAATTGAAATCGTTAATCTCGTAATATGATAATGGAACATATTTTTTTCTATTTTTAAAATTAATAATAATTTTTATTAAACTATTTTACTTACAATTCATACCGCGATTCATTTTCTTTGCAAGAATTAATCTCTTTTTATTCATTTTTATGATACCGAATGAGATATCGTATTTTTGTTATAATTTCTTTGCTTTTTTATATTTATCGTATATTAATTCAATATGTGAAGAAACTTTTTTTTTCTTTTTTTTAATTGAAAAGGAATAGAGAATCTGAATTCAATAATGCCAGACCCGAGCAATGAATGAAGATAGAAAGTCGCAAGATGCTCATAATATAATCAATATATATGTAGATATGCCAAACATTTTAAATCGATCATAAATTTAAGTTATAATATGATGTAATTTATTTATTCTTTTATTTAATGTACTTATATTTAGAAAGAATTTATAATAAAAAGAATATTGAAGTACAGTTGTATGCTATTCGATATTTAATGCCAGATTATAATCCAAGCATATAATTTAGCAATTTATATATGTTTCTTTTTTTTTTTAAAAAGGTCATTATTAACAGCAGAATTATTAATTTTATTGCCAATATTATTGACAATTATTTCATTCTTCTTAAAATCATTCCATTCGAGAAATTTCTACGTATCAATGTATGACATGTATGAATTCTCTGTTACCGGGCAGTTCCACATACTGGTGGAGGGGGTGAAAACAGTTTCTTAGAAAAGACAATAAGTCACGTAATCCGACAGAAAGAGTTCACGCTATTTTCGGTATGAATATTTATTTTTACGTTAGTAAAAAAAAAAAAAAAAAAAANAAAAAAAAGGATGTTGCATCGTAACGGTTAGCAGTCATACACGCATTAGCCAACCGGTTTTTTTCTCCTCTTTATTTCTATTTTTTTTTCTTTTTTTTTTTTTCCATTTCGGTGGAAGAAGGTGAATCGCCATCACTGTTAAACGAGGCAACGGCCTTGCAAGAATGATGCACACTCTTTTTTCCTTCTTCCAAATCGCTTTCTGCCACTTTCTCTTCCCTCTTTCTCTCTGACGTTGTCGCTTTCTTCTTTTATACACTGTCTCATCGTCGTCTCGGTGTTTTTTAAGCGGCGACCAGAGACGTTTTACTCTTCGGGCATGTTGATGATTCAGAGGTTGTCGATTAGCGTGTCCCAGCCGGAAAGAATCCTCTCCATTCATCCCACGATTTCACTTTTATTCCATTCTAGAAATGGAATTACATACATTATACAGTCGTATTATAGATACATTATATAGATCGAACGAAAGATGATTATTTTTACAATAAGTTAAATCTGAAATTAATCTTCTTTATTTTATCAAATTAATCTTAAAAAAAGAATTATAATTTCCATTTTTCCGTCCGCTTTTAAATATTTCAGTTCGAAAAGAAGTTGTTTGCGCGGTTAGAGTCGCATACATACACCGGTTTTTATCACCGGTTGGAAAGGAAAAAGAATGCGAGAAGAAAGAGGGAGGAAAAGAGTCACAAATTCGCCAAGTCAATTCAAATCCCTCTTTGTTGCAGAATGTACGTTCGGCAAGCAGATACGGGAACTGGGCTCCACCTGGTTCGCGGATTTGGGCCCGCCCTTTGGAGTCATGTACTGCATCAAATGCGAATGCATTCCGGTACGTATTAAAGTGGGTGTGCCCCCTCGTGCACATTCGTGCCTGCCTGTCCGCGTGTGCGCAGATCCCTCCCCGTTCCCAGCTCGACCTTTAACCCTTTCGCCGCATGTACCTACACAACATTACGTTTCTTGTGTAACCGGCCGATCCGACGCGACTTTTACAGAATTCACGTCGATTATTCGTTGTACGTACAACGGAACACCCTCGTTCTCCGCCACTAGAGCTCGTTTCAAAATTCAGCAATAGTATATTTCTTATTAGAAATTTATTACTACTTATTTCGCAACAAATGATCATTAATCACACGATCGAATGAAATGAAGTCGTAAAGCCAGTCGGTTTTTACGGTTCGACGTTTTTATCGATCGCAATAATAATTTGCAATGCATAACCACCACGGTTTCTTTTTTCATTTTTTTTTTTTTAGGTCGTTTGAATTATTATCGCGCCTATTATGTAAATTATAATTAACCAGATAAATTTAAAATTATTGTAATTTAAAAGTGGAACGTATTCACGAGTGTAATAAAATATGTTAAACGAGGCTTTGCTTGGAACGAGTGTTACGGCAGAGTCGAGAGTTTTTTTAATATAAGGATTACCTTGGTATCGATTTAGATCGCTTTCCTGGAGATGATCGCTTTTTCCGGAGAAGGTCGTGGAAATGGCATTGCCGTTTGGGGGGCGCTGTAGATCGACACAATACGCGAGGCACGAACTAAATCTCGATCTGGGTGACGTGACCCACGGAGACTTGACGTGCTTTCTAATCCCATTCCTGCCCGAGACAGACTGGCGTCCGCTTCTTAGCTCGTCCACTTAACCACCGTACGTGAGCGAGACGCGTATATAGCTACCAGCAAGTATCGTTTCACGAGTATATATTCTGACACACGTCCTTCGAACGCTGTGCAAGGAATTTTTTCACACGTCAATTAAATTCGACGATTGTTTTAAATTATTAAGATTTTTTGACGTTAAAAAAAAAAAAATTTAAATTAAGCTTCGATTTTCAACTTTCAATTTTCATTCACATGATTTCATATCATTCGCGGAAAATTTTCGATACTTTGTTACATCGGATTCTGTTGCAACTTAGACTAACTAGAGATATCAGTCTCACACTATTTATCATTTTATCAATTTAAAGAAAAGTTTTAAGAAAAACTAGTTTTTTCTTAACTTTTAAGCCGGCAGCCTTAGATGAAGCGAGACAAAAAATAGACTTTTCAATTCAACTTCAATTGTTTATAATTTAATAAATAATCGAAATTTTTGTACATCAATTTTCGTGAATAAATTAATATCTTGTATGAACAAATAAAAAAATAAAGGGAAAAAATTGGCCAGAATAATGGATTTAATTAACAACTTATTTCGGGATTATTGATGGAGAAACTTTATCAAAAAAATTTGATATTATTTTAAATCAGAAAGCAGAAGGTTTTCATTGTGAATATTCTGCAAATATAATTAATATCCTATTTATAAAGTACACGTAATTGGATGAGGATTGATGATTCGAGTGAATATCTTCTTTCGAAACTTGTTTCCGTTTGATCAAATGATGAGCTCTTTTCCGACGTAATCGTTGACGGACCACACCTACGATCGGTTATACATTTTGTCACGCGTACGTGTCCGCCATTTCTAATGAAACTGCATGACGCGAAAAGTACGAGAATTTAGGGATCGGCACCGTTGCGAACAGTTCGAAACTTTCGTAATTTCGTGGTGAGATCATGTAATCTTGCGTGTGCTTTGCGTCATAGAAATAAAGCGACCGCGTTCACCAGTATTATGTAAAGTATCACATTTTTTTCTTACAATTTAATTTCTTTTAATCTCTTGAGATAGAGTTTTAATTTTTAAGATATATTTTTCCCTCGTACGTCAATATCGATCGAATTTTTATCATTCCTTATCACTGTTGCTGTTGTTCTATTCGTAACAAAATAACAAATTGATCTTACATTATTATAACAATTAGATTTTCATTCGAAGTGTTGACAAGTGTTGAGTTTGTTGATGTTAAATCTTCGATTCGATAGAAGATGGAAAAAATATTAATCAAACTCTTGGAATTTCCTTTTTCATGATTATTAATTTTAAAAAGTATGATACAATTATATATTATTACACGTATAGTGAGTAATGAAACTGGTTAAAATATACAATAACTACACGTAATAAATACAAGCTCGGACGAGAATCACTTATGTTCCAGTTTTAATTTTAAGTATGGATTAAAAAAATTGCTTACATCTGGCGTTTATATCTTACGTTTATAAGTATATTGTTAATTTATATTATCATCAATTTCAAATGTCACGTTAATATTAATAGATTACGAGACAAATTTTCAAATTTACCGCTCAATTACGATCTCTGTTAATTAATCGTCTCGAATTTCAAAAAACTTAGAAAAATGATCATCTTGTTATTATTTATAAAATCATAAAATCGTATGAAGCAATAAAGCAGACTTTATAAAATTAATTCTGGATATCGTTCGAGAAACAGGTTTTTTCGCCTCGATTATTGCTCTATTATCTATGTTATCTATGTTCCTTGCTGCAAAATATAAAATAGATATTCGGCCAAGTATATATTACGCATAAATTTGCACGAGATGCGTTATCTTTTTTTTATAGATTATCATGAGAGTGGAATAAAAAAAGAAAAAATATTACAATAGACAAAAAAAAAAAAAAAAAAAAGAAGGTTAAAAACGCGATAAATAATATAGAAAAAATGTCGGGGAAAAAGTTTATTACGACAAATCATTTATAGAGATAATTAAATTCAGTTTGTTTTACGTTCTCATGGAATCATCGAATTCTTATGTGATCGCGCAATAATAGCTATTTGCATTCTGCTCGTAGCGTGCCCAAGAGAAACATCAGTTTGTTTTGATCTGTCGATAATATCACCGTTTACCGACACGTCCCTTATTGTCATCGATATTCTTACCCTTTCACGCCTTCTTTGACCAAATAATATCGATTCCAATAGTCAATAACGCGCTCGATAACGGCTCGGCTGACTCATTGCTTGCATTTACATGAAAAAACGCGCAATTTTTATCGATCTCTTCTCCTCTCTTCATCTTGTTTCGCGACGTGTTTTTATAGAGCTAGTAAAAAAAAAAAAAAAGAAATAACATGCGTACGCGTACAATATTTTCTGACAAGATGACGTGGATAAAACGCGTTTTTTTACGACCTAATTGGATGAAAATCATAAAACATTGTTCGTGCGTCGTTCATTTTATTGGCTCGTTACATCGTTTTAACGATGCAGCAGTGTGTATCTGTATTCGTTCGGACACCCTGTATACGTATACCGTTGCCCGTTACGATGGAAACGGACGTGAACGTGACGCCAGGTTGCTAAATCCGGTGTTTTTCTTATCGACATTTCTTACAGACTTCTAATAATAGGCCTGCCACTAATGAGGGTGATTTTAAACAGATAAAAGTTCAACTACGGTCGATTAGCTTCATTTAGTGGTTCCCTTCCGGACTTTCTCGATGAAAGGCGGAGGTCTTACGTTTTCTGCCTCGTTTAACCCGCGCAACGGGTTTAATCATAATGCGATCTTTGTTCTTGCAAATCTTTATTTTTTTTTCTTTTAAAAGTCAATAAAAAATTTTCTACCTTTTAAAATTAATCGGATTAAATTAGATTATCTTGAATGTATAATTTTTTTTTTCTCGCGAACAGTTGAAATGTAATTTCGATTATTATATACGATCGAGAAATAATTCGGCATAATGATAATAATTTTTCATCATTTTGAAAAAATGTTTTAAAACAATGTACGATGTTGATTGATCGAATAAAAAAGATAGAATTTTATCAAGCAAAACAATTTTTATTCGAAACGAAAACGCCGTTAAACGATGATTCAGTTCAGAGATTTCGTTCACACCCACTTATTATTCAATTTATTGAAGATAGAAAAGAGATAGCGTATATGTATATGTAAAGTGGGTTTGAGAAAGGCTTTGATGCCTATTATTTGCCGCCTTGTATCGATTATATTATTAAAGATACTCGTCTCATTATACAGGATCCGCCGATACCACCTACGTAATATTTGCGTTCATTCTTTCTTGCGCTATTCACTTTCTCTCTTTCTCTGTCCTCCTTTATTTGCATAATTTTAATCGCGAAACGAGCATGAAAACATTTGTTATCTTCGACAATATATAGATAGATGTGAAATTTATTTAGAATATCATTAAGTAAAAAAAAAAAAAAAAAAATAAAACGTTAAAAATTAATCTTTTATAAAATATATTTTTAAATAAAAGAATGATAAAATAAAAATAAAGAAATAATAAATCAATAATTAATAATCAATTGATACACAAACATATCTATTTATATTTCTATCTATTTAATTGAAATGAATAATTAAATTATATCGATAACTCGATAACTGTCCGTGTCTTTATAAATTAGATCATTAATATCCATTAATGGAAAATGATTAATTTTTATGCAATCGATTATCAAACGTTTAGTTTAATTATTGAATTGCGATTGCGCAATGTATATCTCGAAATTGATTTTCTAATTGCAACTAAAAGAAAATGGTAAAATATATTGTTATATCATTTTACATATACATCTTTCATTTTCTTCTTTCAAATATTCAAAGTTACTTACATCGCACAAATTAAAACACAAAGTTCACATCCGATTCTATCGATTTAGATTAATCTGTTTGTGTACATCGTGGTTCACATTATGCCCAAAACTTTAAGTAAGATAAAGCATCGTGCAGCGTCTGTTTTTTTTTTTTTAAAGAATATTTTAACAAAACATGTCTGCCGAAAGGATAGCACGTTATAAAGTGCAAATTATTTTTTTAATGCCAAGCCATCGTTTCATTTGATCAAATTAACTTTGAATGCATTCAGATCTATTTATCGATTTGATATCGAAAAATTATTGGTTTAAATGTATTAGAAATATTTTCACTTAAATATTGCAATCCCTTATTGTTAAAAT